GATTGTTGGTCAAGGCAACCATGGCAGTCTCAACCCCAAAGCCTGTCTAGACAATTGAAGCCAGTTTGAAATGGGTCTAGATAATTGCCAGTTTGAAATGGGTCTAGATAATTGGTTTGATCCAAGACAGCTTGGAGTTGAAGAGCAACCGCCCTCTCGATTACCTTACTCAAGAATGGTAATAAAGAGACTGGCCTGTATTTGTTCCTATTCAGGGGGTCCAAAGAAGGGTTTTTCAGAAGTGGCCAACAGCCACTTCCTTAAAACAAGATGGAATGTAACCTTCCCTGAGGGACACATTGATGATGTCCATAAGGAACATCCTCAAAGCATCCCCACCCCCCACCCCCCAGATGGCCAGCCATGAGGGGCAAGGATCGAGAGGACAGGTTGTTTTCCTCACTCTACGAAGGAGCTTGTCCATGTCATCGGTACTCACAGACTGAAACTGATCCAGAATAATCTAATTAATGGAGTCAATGGACACCTCGTCAGCCGCATCATGAACCCAATCCAGACTCCTGGCATACTTTTTCTGGAAAATTGGAAAGTATCATTCTTTGAAAAGTATGCTAGGAATCTGGATAAGGTTGGCGATGCAGCTGAGTTGGGCACGGAGGCATGTGATGAGATCTGTTTTCACACATTTGAGCCCATGCCCAGCCCGTGGCCAGATTGGGCCAAAAAGCTGTGCAATAGTCTCCCACCTGGGGTCCTTTCCTTCTACAACAGATGTAATACTAGAATTCAATTTCAGCTGCCATGACTCTAGTCTATGGATTCCTGGGATTGGCATTTAGAATCCTCTGCCAAAGAGCTCTAGCACCTCATCAGACTACAAACCCCAGGATTCCATGGGATGCAGCTGTGGGAATTAAATTGAAAACATAGCACAAAATGGGCTAAACTTGTACAGTGTGAAAGTACCCGTGGCCCTAATATGCCTTTCTTATTCCCCCAGACCTTGTATGGACAGTTCATCCTCTATAAAGCTGCCACAATTCCCTGGAATTATCCATCCCACCATTTGGAGGCTGCATCTTAGGTTGTTATGGCAATGGAGACATTTACGAGAAGAGCCTCACATTTCTGGCAAGTTGCAGCCATACCCCATTGCTATTGCCTTGTTTCACATGTGGCTAGGACTCAACTTCAAAACACATCCTGCATCCTCCATCTGTGTAGTATTTAAATGTGTTATTTGTACCTGTTTCATTCTTATATTTGTTTCTCTTCCCGCACTCCCAATTTCCATGTAACACTTTGTTAATTTGCTCCTTGGTGGTAGGCAGGCTGCTTGATCTCTCCTTAATTTAGCATTTAGTCTCTTCATTTCCCCATCTTTGTTCTTCTCCCTTGCTCCAATTTCCTGGTGTGCTTTCTACTCACCAGTGTGCAATTTCCCTTTCAACTTCAGCAGCATACGTGGAAAACAGAGAGAGAATCTTCCTGATTCTTTTGTTGCTAGGACACTTCAAGCTTCATTTGCAGAAATAGTACTGTACATAAACACAGTGTGCTTCAATTTAAATTAGGGCAGCTTCCCTTATAACAACAAAAACAACTGGAAAAAGACTCCTGTAACTCTGCAAAATATGGCATATTGGATAACACAAACTGTGAGAAGGGGGATTTAAAATATTTTA